TCTAATACAGGAATACCAAGAAGGAAATATTAAGCCAACCATAATCAAGTGCCTTAATCACAAGCTTGAGACTTGTCCTGGGGAAGTTGATGTTATCTGGATGTTACTCGCGGATCTAAGCGCTATATTTAAGGTGTACCGTTTTAGCGCTCCTATAATTTTGGTTTTCTAACACCTTAAAAAGTAGTTTTCAGATCAGACCAGAGAAAGCGGTGGAAGCATGGTATAGTATTGCTGATGGCGACTCAACAAATAAAGTTGGTTTTCAAATTTAAACGTCGTTTCATACTGTTCTTGAATAAATTTGCTTTTAGGTGCGTTATGTTGCTAAAGTATTGTCCCGAAGTTGTGATGATCTTGATTTCAATGCCAGGGCACAACTTTCCTTTGATATTGAGCAGAAAATTTCTCAATTTAGGTAAGTTTGTCTCCAGTGGTTTTACTTCTGTGAAAAAAGAATGATTCGAGATTTAGAATTACCGCTTCCAATATTTCACCTGCATATTTTTGTCTGGCTAAATTGATGGATGCTGTTAGCGAGGAAGGTACAGGTGCGTTAAAACATTCGTGTCGACGCCTAGTTTTTCACCACCTCTCACCTGTTACGCCTTCCATTTTCAAAGAAAAAACAGCGTGTGCCCTCGCTGTAATTCTTTCATCAATGCGGTCTATCGCACTGTGTCGCTTTTCTCAGCAGCAATAGTTTGTGTCAGAGCAAACAAACTCGATTAGCAGCTGAGGAAAAAACTAAAAAGAAAAAGTGTAGAAAGTGTAGCGGAGGAAATTGCGGCAAGCTGCAAAAACGCAAAGGTTTCTTGAAATCAGCTTGCACCGTCTATTTTCTGGATACCGCATGCATATTTGAATTGTTTCATGTCGTTGCAAATGTGTTAAGATGTGTAATGCTATATATATGGCGTGTATGCCGCAATGGTCAGAGGCGCCCTCAAATACACACATGGGGTCTATCCCCGCGCCCGTGGCTCGACAAGCTTTCCATCCCTCCGGGGTTGGTAAACAGGTACCAGATTTGTTTGGGAGGATAGCATTACTAACCCGATACATCGGTATGTCACCTCAAGTCATTATAAAGGCCAGTTATGCATTCAGTCACCTCCAAACGTTGCTTAGTGAAGTCGAATGCATGGCGTATCCCTCGGAGATCGGTCAACGTAGCTAGCTTTATGCTTTTCTTGTAATGCTATATATACTGTATTTCTCTATTTTTCCTTGTGTCAGTTTACGTAATACTTTATCTCGTACAGGAAAACAAAATCTGGAGAAATTTGGAAGGAAGCTTCTTAGAATTTGCCGTGAACATATCCGTGAATCGCTGCTGGAGATAAAAGACGAATACGACTTTGAGAAGTAAGTTGTGATTTAAAGATGATTCACTAGTATTCGTTAACCCATTTTGACTCAAATTGACACTGTAGTGTCTATATTCAGCTTACTGAACTGAATAGTTTTTTTTCTTATTTCATTATGTATGGTTATTCAACAGCTATTCGAAAGCAGGTGAAAATGGGAGGCTTGGGACCAGAAAAATCACTCTCTACACTTATTGACGGCTAACTTGACTAACAGTTTATTTATTTATGTGATCTTATAAACTGATCTTCTTAAGCTGACGCGAGGTTGGTACAGATCTTCGTTGTCGTTGTCGTAGTCGTTGTTTTCGATGTTATTGATCGATGGCTGACGTTTCGGCGACTTCGCCTTCCTCAGAGCCTGGACGTACTTTATGTTAGAATACTTTTTATTATTCGGTGGAAAAGAAGGTTAAAGTATTAATGAAGATCAAACTTTCAAATAGACGCCATATTGAACAGAAAGGCCACTCACCGTGATGTTACGTGCGGGACTGGCCCACACGTAGTTCACGTGGAGTCGCGAGCAAGACACGCCCCGGGGTCAAAATATCATTTTGAAATAGGGCGCCAGGTCACGCGTGATAGTGAGGCATTCGTCCTTCCGGTTCATCTTTGGATTTTTGAAATTTATCCAAAACGCCTCAAGAGTTTTGCGCGTTGATGTTTTGATTCCTGCGCTAGGATCCGCACATTCACTTCAAAATCATCGCCGTTGTGCTTTTGTGTCCTATGCGTACCTAGAGGGGTGTTTAAGCGGATTTTAGCTTTCCCATCTAGATGTTCTTTTATGCGGACACAAAGTGGTCTACCCGTTTCCCCGATATATTCCTCGCCGCATGCATTACATGAGATCAAGTATATTATACCTAATATATAATATATATTTTGACCCCGGGGCGTGTCTTGCTCGCGACTCCACGTGAACTACGTGTGGGCCAGTCCCGCACGTAACACCACGGTGAGTGGCCTTTCTGTTCAATATGGCGTCTATTTGAAAGTTTGATCTTCATTAATACTTTAACCTTCTTTTCCACCGAATAATAAAAAGTATTCTAACATAAAGTACGTCCAGGCTCTGAGGAAGGCGAAGTCGCCGAAACGTCAGCCATCGATCAATAACATCGAAAACAACGACTACGACAACGACAACGAAGATCTGTACCAACCTCGCGTCAGCTTAAGAAGATCAGTTTATAAGATCACATAAATAAATATATCAACTATTTATGCCGAGGTTCATAGAAAGTCGGTCTTTCGAGTTTTTAACAGTTTATTGTTAATTTATTTTAATCGCAGTGTCGAAATCACCCTGGCCAATGTCCACCCCAGGTCTTCACCACCACGTGTAGTCGCTGCCGATGTGGAGCAGTGGGAGATTCACCACCATACAACTAGTTTGATACCAGAACGGTGACAGATCCTGGTATTGGTGTACTCTAAGCTGGGCTTCCTGATGGAAGCTCCGGACTTCCTTTAGCTCAGGAAAACCTACTGATGGGATGATTCTCCCCGCTGTACATCGCATCCCGACACTCAGGAACACCTCCCAACCACTATTAGGCGGTAAGCCGTTGGGAGGATGGGCAGTACATACACACAGTAAATAATAATTTGCATACCATTCATGCCGATAGAATGATAGGTCAAAGTTTCTTTTACAGTCCTGTCAGCTTCAGAATCGCTGAAGTCTTCTAGATATGAAGAAAAGATTTTTATTGCCAAAAACCTGGAGTTCGCAGCCGGCCAAAAATTGCTCCTATGCGACCGGGCAGCCACAAAATACGGTGCCAGGGTGGGATGGGTTAACACGTTCGCCATAATGTGGCCTCTGTAGGTGTCATACGATGCGAAAGGATTCACCGCTTTCAACCTTGAAACAGCATATCTCAGCTGATAGTGGATTTTATTAATTGCAATAAAAGCTGTTAGAATCTACAAATCTTTGTCTGGGTGTGAAACTTGTCTTGTTTTCCTATGGTAAATTTCTGATTTTCTGAAGCCCATAACATATTTTTCTTCCATTTTGCTGCTTTAAAGCTCCTATTTTGAATACGGAAACATTAGGAAGCGGGATTCTGGCCAACATCACATGGTGCTGTTCCCAAATATATCTTGTATGTTTGCATCGGTTGCTCTCTCTTCGTTTTTTTTTTTTGGGATTTTTAATCCTGAATATTTTTATGTTTGAAAAAGGTAAAATGTTGCAATTATATATGTGGTTTATGCGACGGTCCAAGGCCTTTGCGTAAAATGTTTAACTCCTGTGGTACTCTATTGCTCGAAAAATTATCCTCTGTAGTTGAGAAACCACCTTCGTTGCGAATATATTGGTGGAAATGCCTTAAAAGATTCGTTTCTTGATATTTCTAGATTTAATGCCCGTGAAACGGTACTAATTCGTGTAGTTCTGACTATCGGAGAGGTCGTGCAATATTCTCCAAAGCTCATGTCCAGTGCTGTTCGTTTGTTTGATGCTCTTAAAACAATAGTTGCCTCGGATATTTTTAACGAAGAGGAACTTTCTGGTAAGCTTTTATCTTTATATCTCTGTATTCACAATCGATTGAGATTCAAATATTCCCAGTATGCAATTGTTCGATGTGTTGTATTAAGAGGCGGTCCATTTCCAGTTGTCAACTCGGCGATACCTTCAGTACAACCGTCACCGTCTCATAATCGTGGGCATTCACCAGCACGTCCCCCTTCAGCAATAAGCGACCAGGTACTGTTGCAGATATATTATGCTACTTAATTTTGTGCTACTACATTGCGTCACTGACGTCGTGCTTTCAGGAAGAACGCGTCGGCTCTCAAGGAGTGCCTTCCCAAAATGTTCATGTGATACCGTCTTACGTCCTTAAGGCATTTAAAGCTAGTGGACGTGCCTTACTCACCCAAAGAGTAAGAGCACATGCTGTACTCACAATAGGAAAATTCTGTCTAATGGTTTGTGTTAGATTACTGTATATTTCTCTTCTCCATTTTTACTGAAACTTAAATCCTCAGTTTTAGAATGAAAAGATTGCCAAATCTACCATTCCTGTTTTCGTCAAACAACTGCGACTGAATGGGGACCATATCATAAGAAACAATATTGCTCTTGTTATTTGCGACCTTTGCATCAGGTCTGTTTTTGCACCAGCGGGCTAGGTAACTCAGCTTTCATATTGACTGAAATGTTTTCGTAGTCAAGAGCAATTTTTTCCGCAATGAAAGACGTGCAGGTTTTTTATAAATTGGTTAAAATTTCGTATTTTCTTCTTACACTCTCATTGTTACTAATGAAACTTATGAAAGTGGGATTAGAAAAAACATTTGAGGTAATCGAACTGATAAAAATAGTGGAAGGCTTTAAAAACACTTAGAGCCCATGCATCTTCGTGTTACTTATTACCCACTACGAAAATTGGAACTTCTCCGAGTTACTTGTTTAGATATACATCGATGGTCGATCACTACTCCCCAATAGTTGCAGCGTGTCTTAAAGACAGATCGACTTTGGTTCGTCAACAAACCCTAGAATCGCTTACATCATTGATAAAGGAGCAATTCATTCGATGGGAAGGACAAGTATGGTGTTATCTATTCACCTTTACTTCCTACTTTTAAGTGCAACATTTTCAGATTATGTATCGCTTTGTTTCTACAATATTGGACGAAAATAAAATCATAAGAGAATACGCAAAATTTTGTTTGGTAAGCCAAAATTGAGTTGAGTCAAAATTCAGTTCAAATGGATGTTAAAGGTGATAGTGTAATTCCAGCGAGATGTGCTACTGCTGCAGTTTCCTGATCTTTTCTCAAACCACTTCATCGAATGTCTTATGTATTTTAACAAGGTGCCAGTAAGCGGTGAAATTCGTAGTGCTGGACGTGAGTTGCTATCAGTTTGCAGATTTAGGGGATTTCCAACATTTGGCCAGTTAGTTCCAGGCGTGCAAGAAGTTATTGATCCTGTACAGCACGTTAATCTTTACGGTTCGGAGAATTTTGAAAATCGTATGACAATTTGCAAATTTATGGTTCGTGGGATTTCAAAAATTCTACGTTTTCTTCAAGTATTCATTATACATTGTCTGCTTTAGTTGAGCACATTTGATGATCGGTTGAAATTAACACTGATGGCTCACATTTGTACGCAAATTATTTCTCCAGTTATGAATGGGAATCTGAAGTACGATGATCCTTGTGTATATGCTCTTTTGAAGGACGCCTTGACGGTACTTTTTTTAAAAGAAGTACTTCACTTTTGGTGCTGGCAGCATTTTTCTTTTTGTTTTTTCAGATAATGTCCGTCAAAGAAATAAGATTGAACATGGATGTGGGAAAGGGTCCTGACGATGAAGACGAGCCTCCAGCGGTTGTTGTAGTCAGTGTATAATAATCCGTCCAGGTTTTGTCATTGGATTTTACTGTGTAGTGAGTTCTTCCTTTGCAGGCTGCTGCAAAAGAAATGATTACACAAACATTCCGGAAAGCCATGATAGATTATGTCATGCCGAGCCTTCTCGATTTACGTGCTTACCTCAATGAGAGGCGATCGAGATTACGTTCCGAACTGTACTCCGTTTTCCGGTAATTTCGATGAAATGTTCACTGTTCTCTTGCGCTTCTGTTTAGACCACGTTTCCCATTATAGCGCTATTTGTCGCGAACATAAAGATCAAATTGATGAATTCTTGGATGGTGATCAGCAACTCAAGGCCGAGGTTGAATATGACATCCGCAGATACGAGGCAAGTGTTCTTCATTTAAAGAATTGGTGTAGTAAGGACTTTTCTTGTGTTTCAGTTACGTTTAAAGGCTGAATGGGCAGCAGCTAGAAGACGTGCAGAACAATCAGCATTAGAAAGACGTCGTTCACGGCGTTCTTTAGCGGTTATCACAGAGATAAATAAAGGGTGTGGGGCTCCCAATGATGGTGCAATAATCAATAGTAAACAACCGGGTAGGAATGATGGTGAGGTATCCCTACCATTTGTGGAAATGGAAAACACGCAAAGCTTAGCATCTGAAACTACCTCAGTTCCACCGAAGGATGCAGCTACTCAGAGTGCGTCGAAAGGAAACATTAAAGAATTGGTAAGTTAGCGAAGATTTTGCAAATTTTGCGGTAGTATGTGGAAAAGCAGTTAGAGTGTCGCCATCTGTTGACGAACTATCTAGACTTGCCTTGTTTCTTATTTGGGTGTAACCTATCAATGCCACAGGGATGGATTTGGGCAGATTTGCCTCCTATTAGGCTTGAGCGCCCGCGTTTCAGCAAAAGTGTTTAGTTTCTTCCTGTCGCAGCGAATTCGCATGTTTTTTGTCCGTGATGGCAACATTGTCTGGCTCTGTTATCCTATATATTGCAGCATGACCAGTATTGAATAGTTTAGAAACAAGAGTTGCCGGACAATATTGCCGAAGTTCCTGTGGTTGATGTTGATGCACGGAGACCACGTGACGCTCCAAATACTGCTGAGGTAGAATTTGTTCAGGTAAGTTTCATTGATCAAAAAATAGTTGTTTGAGATCTTGAAGTTTAATTTGAAGTCGTTTGTTTGGAAGTATGTTCGACAGGTTTTGAATTAGGGGTATAATCCAATTGCTCAGCGAGCAGCTTTTCTGGTCTGTGTATTCACGTCACTAAGGCGTCTTTCAGATTAGTTCGACAAACAGTGGTAGTCAGAATTTGGAAGCCTTATCTGAGGAAAATGAGCAGGTAAACGACTATGCAGTTCTTACTGCAAAAACGCTGCCCTTTTTGCCTAATCCTGATGAGAAACTGTATTCAACAAGTGGAACTAACCCACCTGGTATCGAAATCGACATAGAGCCGCAATCTGAAAAGGGCATTAACTCATCACTTAAATCTAGCATGGATGTAGATCCTGATACGATTTCAAATGATGGAAAAGTGCTTGAGAAGGAAAATCAGCAAGGATTAGTGGCAGGTATACGTTTACCTTCTCAGTGTATCCAAAAGATTTATAGTCTTTTACAGACGATTTGTCGCATGTTGGTGCTCCAACGTTGATTTCGCCATTAAAAACTTCACGAAAAGTGGACTCTAAGCGAGTAAGTTTCTCCCATTGTCGTTGTGATCACATAAGAATTAATGGTCCCACTTATTTTTATGTTTAGCCGATGAGTGGAGTCTCAAATGAACCAACCATTTCAAATCGTGCGGTATCAACGCCCAACAGGACCATATCTAATGTGAGAAAACCTTGTGAAGTTCAACCAAGTTATTGTGACCACAGTTTTTCTTTTATTCTCAACAATTGTACTTCGTAGAAAGTAATACAGCTGCCGTTTTTTCTTCTTACTTTCGTTGCTTATCTGTTGTGTTTAAGCTTACGTTCGCTGATCTCAACTTGTCTGCAATCCAAGGGGATGGTAGAACAGTCTCACATAAAACAACAGGTTAATCTACCAAATATATCTTTTCGTCGTCATGCTATGATTTGCTTGATATACTAGGCTAGTCTATTTTTTTTGTTAGTGACTAATCTCGAGTTTTTAGGAAGTCCTCAGTTTTCCAGTTCTCCGATGAGAACTGTTGAGGAGGAACAGGAAGAAGAGCCCTGATATTGATCTTTGACTTGTGCAATGGTACTTCTTGTCATCCGTTGATTACTTTGTAATCATTATTTTGTATTTCTGAGTTAGAAGAAGGTTTTTTACTACTGATTGTTGATTTGTAACCACTATTCTTTCTTTCTGAATAAAAAGAGTAATGTTTGCTTAGTGTTTGTCTAAAATGAGTTCTGTGCTATTCTGGTATCTTTAAAATGGTCCGGCATTCCCGTTCTGTTGAGATATGTGGAAGAACGTTAATTTCATTATAGTTTGGGGAATGATCGGTGCAAAAGCACGTGAGCTATGTAGTCGAGTCATGAAGTTGTCCCAGGCTTTGCTTGGTCAGCGTAACGCGCACACAATATGGTATCCGGATGCTAAATTCGAAAGGCAGTTCAAGGTTTGCTTATATTTTGTTGAATTGTAGAGTGGAGCATATCCAAACTATATTAATTTTTTATGCTTGAGAGCGGAGGAGATTTGGGAAGATTGTGGATGAGCGAACATCACCAAGAGTTCGAGAAAGCGATCGGATTAGATAAAGTCGATGAACTTCTTTGCTCTGCTCCGGTGCAATCAGATTCTTTTCAGGGCAAAAAGCGGTACGTGTGAGAGTTACGTTAAGGAACGTCCTATTTTTAATTCTCTAAATTGTTTTCAAAGTGATAACTACAATTGGTTCATCGAATTGGTTATTTTTTTCACTTACTGGTCTTTCTTTCCAAGGTAAACGAAGCTTTTGTCGTTCATTTCTAATTAGAATAAGGAGAGAAATCAATGTTACTAACGATGTGAAAAAGAAATCGCAGAGGCTTGCTTGCTTTTCCATGTTTCATGATAAATCTCGATATCTCATTCCATTCTAACTAAAGGATTTGTTCTTGAGTGTTTTGGATGGGATAGTCGTACTTAGAGTAAGGATAAAGTAAAATCGATAGATTATTAAGTTGTTTTTACTCGACTATTATATTTACTGACTTATATTTGGTTACAGTGAGAAACAATTGGAGAATATGATCTTAAACTTTGGTCCTCAGCATCCTGCAGCGCATGGTGTGCTCCGTCTTGTGCTGAAATTAGAGGGAGAGGTTATTCCCTTATGCGGTTTCCTTATCAATTTGTACAGAGTTCATATTTCACTTTGGACTCATGAATTGTATTCTATTGGCTTTTTTTAAAATTTAGGTCATCATAAAGGCAGTCCCCCACATAGGACTACTTCATCGTGCTACTGAAAAGCTTATTGAACACAAAACATATACTCAGGTCTGTTTTGTAAATGATATATTATACCACTTAGTATGCGGAATTGTTCAGTTATAAGTTGTTCGATCGTTGACTTATACCTTGATCAGATGCGAAGCCTTACAGAAGCCATAGGTATGACTGCTATTCAGGTGCTAGAACTCCGGTGCTAATTTATTAGTCTACTACGCATTGTAATATAACGGTTTAAGGCACTACCATATTTCGATCGTCTTGACTACGTGTCAATGATGTGCAATGAACAGGCTTTTGCTCTTGCGGTAGAGAAACTTTTGGGTGTTGACATTCCACCACGAGCGAAATATATTCGCAGTAAGTGTGGTTTATCTGGCAACAGTTGTCTTTTTAAAAACGTCGATATCAAACTTTCTACTAGCAATGATGGCTGAAATCACGAGAATCCAAAACCATGTAATGGGAATTACTACTCACGCTCTCGACATTGGAGCTATGACACCATTTTTCTGGATGTTTGAAGGTGAGAGCAGATAAACCAATTGCTTATTGTATAGGGAAATAACCTGTTAACGATCTAATCCTTTCTGTTTTTCAAACTATACAATCACTTGACTCCTTTTAGAGCGAGAGAAAATGTTCGAGTTTGCTGAACGTGTGTCTGGAGCGAGAATGCATGCGAACTATGTAAGACCTGGAGGAGTTGCTTGGGACCTTCCGATCGGTCTTATGGATGATATCTACGATTGGGCTGTAAAGGTATGTTGTTGATGGCATACATGATTTAAAAACGTTTTATTGCAGTACCAACTTATCTACTGGTATTATACTAGTAACTTTAACATAAGTAGACATGAAAAAAAAATGAAGTTGAAAAGATAAAAGGCCGACTGGCCGACTTCGTTTTCATTTTTTCATACTTCTTCTTTGTACTTTAGTTCCCTGAAAGAGTTGATGAGCTAGAAGATATGTTAACAGAGAACAGGATTTGGAAGGCTAGAACCATTGATATAGGTAAGTTATTTTGTTTCACTGTCAATTTCTTGTTTTTTTTTTTCTCCAGCAATTTTCAGACTACGAACAAGTAGATTTTTTGTGTTTGAGGTTTGGTAACTGCTTCGGACGCGTTAAATTGGGGTTTTACCGGTGTGATGGTGCGTGGCTCAGGAATAAAACAAGATGTAAGAAAGACTCAACCATATGAGGTCTATGACCAATTAGAATTTGATGTACCAATTGGTACAAAAGGAGACTGTTATGACAGGTAAAAAATGTTCATATAACTTCAACACATCGATAAACGTTTGCCAATTACCAGGTACTTGTGCCGTGTTGAGGAAATGCGCCAGTCATTGCGCATTATTCATCAATGTCTGAATAAAATGCCCGCAGGAGAGGTAAAAGTCGATGATCATAAGATCGTACCTCCTAAGCGAGCAGAAATGAAGGTAGTTTTCCTGTTATGGTTCACCTAGTTTTTATTATTAAGTATGATACTTGATGGTTATAATCAGTTGCAAACTCCACTGCAGCAAGTTTTTGCAGGATTCTATGGAGTCGTTGATTCATCACTTTAAGTTTTTCACCGAAGGTTTTCAAGTTCCTCCCGGAGCTACCTACGTGCCTACAGAAGCACCAAAAGGCGAATTCGGAGTGTATCTTGTAGCCGATGGTACCAGCAAACCTTACAGGTAAACAAACGGATTCAGGTGTCGACTCTTCTCGCATACGGAACGTGTTACCACCATCTAGTCAGTAATTATAGGTGCTACATTCGCGCTCCTGGATTCCCTCATTTGGCCGCTATACACGATATTTGCTACATGTCTCTGATTGCCGATGTTGTCGCTGTTATCGGAACGCTGGATATCGTGTTTGGTGAAGTGGATCGATAGATATCTAGACCACTACTTTGTCAATATTGTTGCCTGCTAGAATTAGTATAGTTTATTTCAGTACATAGGAAAAACTGTAATATTTTGGTTTGTGACTGACTCCTACATAGGACTGGTTTCGAAATTAGTTCTTAAGCGCATTATTTAGCACGAATCTGTCAATCAATGAATCTGAAGTGTCTGAGATATGCTATAAGATTATAATTGAGGGAGAACAAACATATATGTGCAAATAAGGGAGTGGAAGGGAAGGAATGAACAAAAAACATTTCTTGCCATTCTCATCGAAACAGAAAACGAGTTAAGGTTTCAAACATTTTATCAAAATAGTCTGGAAATGGTACACAACTGGTATATGAAATAGTAACATGACAACATGACCCAGTGGTCCCAATGTGAACGTTAGCATATCAAATGTGATTTATAGGACAAAACTTTATAAGACTGGTTAGTGAGAAGTTCTCAAGGGTCGGAAAAGGTACGGAACATGAAAATGTAGGCAAATTGTGGTCGAGTGATGATATGAATTTGTAGAAGTTGTATGGGAAGGTACGCATAACAACAAGAGGGCAATGCGCTGAATAGGTCCACTTGGTAAAACAATGATATACAGAATTCTTGAGGAACGGAACCATACGAGTATTCGTGGAATTCTGTTTCACAGCGACGATAATTTAATGCAGTACACGAAGACGGAAAATGTATTGGCTATCACAATTGAACCGGCATACGATTGAATTGCCTGCCCTCTGGCGAAACAGGCGGAGCGGGTTTTGCGGTATACCACACTTGAAGTGGTCACGCTATCCCATTTTCACGTATTGAATTATCTCGAAAATGGCTATAAGATGAACCACTATTGAACAACACGTAACAGCTAGAAGGCTTCACGATAAGGCAAACAGTAATCCGCACCTGATCCACAAACAACGAACAGAAATAGTCCGATAAGCCAAGGCGCGACCGGATACTTGTCCTCCTGGGGTTTCTGAAAACACTACGAATTGGTACTTATGAATATAACCAGCCTTGTGAGGCTTAAACACGATAGGGCATAAATTAGAGAAGAAACTATGAATGCTGTCACGCAGCTGAATGAAGAATGGAAATACTTTTGGCTTTCAGAAGTACAAAGTGTTGGTGACTTCCGAGGGGTAGTGTTATGGTCTCTTAGTTTGTTGAGTGACTTACCAAAGACTTGGCAACATTTCCGCGATTGCTAACGTTCTTGCTAAACTGTGAATTAGCAACAGACATGCGTTGCTTGGGGGCCATTTTACACTGAAATATTCCTTTGCGATTAGCATAACAACGGGCAATGTTATGGTCCCAAACACGAATTAAATACACAGAAAGGAAGAAGCTGATAACAAGGGAAGTTCTGAAAAAAGATCTGGCAAGATACGGGCCATATCTGGTAATATATGGGGCATATCTGGTAAGATGGGGGCATATCTGGTAAGATGGGGGCCATATCTGTTAAGATAGGGACCATATTTGGTAAGATAGGGGGCACATCTGGTAAGGTAGGGACTGTATTTGGTAAGACGAGCCATAACTAGCGGATTGGATTCGATTAGTACAGAATTGAAGGTAATGCTTTCATAACGTTGAGAACCAACGCCTATGTGGCTTTGCCGACAAAACTCCAAAGGTCCGATGCAAATGTTTGATATCACGATGAAAAATGGACGCAACGCAAAGCGTGTTTAAGCGAGCTGCGTGGTCCTAGACAGAAATAAGGAAACTCGTCCTAGCTGCTACTATGGACGAGTTTAGAGTCGTGACCCATTTGTACCCGACCCTATAATTCAGTGATTCCGGTAGGTTTCATGGCGCGCGATATTATTTGGCCTAATCTGTTGTCGAGGTTCACTTGAATTTTGGAAAACATTCCACAACGAGTTCTCTTGATTCTGCTTTTTTAAAAATTCTCTGCTCTCGTTTCTTGTTTCATTTCCGTCGTTGTTACCCCTCACGAGGGATTTCGAAATAAGCTTATTTCACGGTGCAAAATTGTTTATGCTCTTTCGTGCCATTACTTTTTGTTTGCCGGTTTTCTAATAGTGTACTACTTTTGGTTGAGTTGCATTGTTTAATAGAGTGGTAGTTATTTACCTACCTACTTGTATAATTTGATAGCCTGCTGTGACTGGTTGTGCCCGCCCCATCACAACTTCCATTTCTTCGATGTTTAGCTGTTTTAGCCATTGGGTTCTCTGGAATACCGAAGTCAGCCTTGCCAAAGTCTGCCCCAGGTCGTCACCATCACTGACATTCGCCGCCCTTGTGGATCGGAAGGAGATTTGGCACTATGTGGCTAGTTCGATGCCAGAACGCTGGTAGATATCCCGGTATTGGTCTGGAAAACGCCGGACTCCTCAGCTTAGGAAGCTCTGCTGAGCGGGGTGAATGCTCCCGCTGTACGTCGCAGGGCAACACACAGGAACACCTCCCAGCCACTATGAAGCGGTAAATCGTTGAAGGGAGAGGGGTGGTTAACAAGGAGCAGTTAGAATAAATTCCATGACGTGCAGTATTGAGTATAGATTGATAAATACCCTTTTTCTTTTCGGTGCAAGAAATTTCACGTTCTGCAACAAAGTTGATGACCATTTCATGAAGCATATTATATATTTAAAGTTTAAAGAAAGACTGATTTTGCCCACGATTTTGTTTTATTTCCCTTTGACATGAGCAAGAAGCCAACAGTGATTAGGAAATGCAAAGATGGAGAGTGAATCCATGAATAGTTAGCGAGATGATAACGTATGATTAGTGATAATTTACTGTTGCAGATGTTCAAGTACTAAGTTCAGAAAGTTGGTTATGCTATGTTGGTTGAAGAATACATTCTTGCAATCGCGTGTCAGACGTTTAAACGTCGCTTTTGACTATGTCCATTCAAAATACCACCAGGTATCATTTCTAGGTATTTCTTTGCTGATATCCTTCTATTCTAGTCATTGTTCTTGCTTTTTTTTTCTAGACATAGTCTTTTACGGTTGTTCATTCGCTTTTAACATTTCTCACAGGTTTGTACCAAAGAGGGTCCAAGTCATTCTTTCCGCTCTGTTGACATTCAATGTAAAAAGACCTCGAATGAAACTCGCAAATCTTGCAGGCGGCGGAAAACTCGGATTGTTCGATTAAAAGAGGTCGGTTGCCATTCTTTAGAACTAGTTTAATTTCTCTTATATAAGGGACGAGTTTTGTAGAATATTATGGATACTGATGGTAGTTCTTTTGACGGTGGATTGAGAAAGCTTACAGACGTTGAACTTGTTCACAAAGTGAGTTTGGAGGAACATGAATGGGAGCAGCGCATTAACGATCCAGTCAGTCTGAGGTTTATGTCAGAAGGAAGTGACTCGGTTAAGGCATCTGTTAGTGGGCTGTGTATGTTTACTAATTTTAGAATTCATTGCGTTATTTGATTCGGTTTACAGTCGAAGTGGTTGGAGATGTCTCCAGAAGAACAAGAATTGAAACGAAAGACCGGTAAAGCTGTATTCCGGTCAATCACATATAATGAGTGTGAGTTAGACGGTTCTGACCTCAACATACCTCCATCGCCGTGAGTTACTAGTTTCTATAGAAGATTACGCAGCCGTTTTTGGAGCGAAGCTGTTTTTTTTTTTGCGAGAAATGACCTCCGTTTAGAGAAAATCCTCATCCATTTGTTCCATCAAAGCATTCTCCTCCTGTCTACACTCACTCTCTTGTACCGTTTGTTAACTATTCATTTCTTCTACAGATACTTGTGGATATTGGGGTCAATTTATTTGAGGTAAATATCAGCTTGATTTTCTTGAAGCTAGCATTTGAATCATTAATGACTTAAGGTTGAACAAAATACACGAGCTGGTAAACATTTGCTACGATTGGACTTGGAGAAAGACGTCAGACCAAAGGTAACAAGCTGTTGCAGCTGGTATAGTTGTTCGTTACCATACTACTAGTGTAAAATGGCGGTTATTTTGCAGCTTCGGTGGCTTCTTTCTCTTGGCTTTCATGTTAGTGATTTGGGTGTTTATCTTACAAAAAATCCATTCTACTTGCTGCAAGACCTTAGCGACATGCAGGTTGGCGTTACCTACTGGTTATGCGAATTCTGTTCTTATTTTATGCTGTTTTTTTCCATTTCTCATTGTAGGTTCGTGTTAATTATTTGATGTCAATGAAATTCTCAACGGAAGACGTGTGCAAAATTATTAGGGAGTTTAGGTAAGATGGAAGTCAGCAGTTGTAAGTGAGGAGCTGCAATGTGTTAAATTTGTTAGGTACTGGTTAAATGTGGATGTGAAAGTAATGGATTCTCGACTTGGGTGGGTGCAGAAACAGTTTGGCTTGAATGGCAATGAAGTACGGGCTCTCATTCGCAAAGAAGCTCGAATTTTGATGTTTGGCTTAGGTCCACTGCAGGTAAGTAGTTTTCGATTTTTTCCTTTGAATCCTTTTTGCTGTACTGTTGCGTCCTTGTATAAGGAATTCAAATATTAAGCTAAATGTACCTTCAGTGTACGGCTAACTACTGGAACAGTTTAACTCATCGTTTGCTTCCTTGTTGAATTTCAGCGGCTTGTGGGACTTTTCAATAAAGAGCTTGAATTTTCTCCTAAGCAAGTGAAAGGAATCCTTCTCGCTGACCCTCGAGTGTTCATGATGGGTAAGGTGTACGCAGAGCCCACTCCTAGTAATGTAGCCCCAGCAGTTCGTCCGGGGAAAACTAGCATTTCTTTCAGAAGCCAAGTTCATTAGGACGAACTACGACTACGTTCATCGCACAATGCGCCTTTCAAATTCCATAATTGCGAAGCATCCATTCATTCTTCGCTGTTCTCATAGCAGTATTCGCAACAGGTAATCCAGTTGTTTATTTGTATTGATGGGATATGAGTATGCAGTTATTGTAGGTATAGTACTCTGTCAGTAACTGTTTTGTTTCACAATGAAGTTGTTGTGGACAGTTTCTTTCACTTCTTCATGTTTCATGAAATTTCATTTTGTTGTTTGTTTATTTCTATTTTTTCACGTTCATTGTTCACTTTCACGTTTATGATTTATTCTCCGTATTAGTTGGTGTTGGAAATATTCTATCTGGAGGAAAAAAATTGGAGACTTAAATTTAATTAATACGGAGAATAAATCATAAACAAGAAAGTGAACAATGAACGTGAAAAAATGGAAATAAACAAACAACAAAATGAAATTTCATGAAACATGAAGAAGTGAAAGAATTCGTGAAATTTAATTCTTAATTATTCATTATTCGCATTTGGTCAGGAATCATTAACAGTCATAGTGTGCAACGTCGCTTTCACATGTTTTGTGCTGAAAATGAGAGCTTAGAAGTTGATGTTGCTGTGTGGCCAACCTACTACCATGACGATGTCTAATTGAGGACCATATGTGAAGCAAGTCGGCGACAAATGTTAGAAAGCTTACCAATGGAGATATTCGCAATTAAAATAGGTTTCAAACACTTGGATCAAAATCAATAATTGTGGATGGACGGAATGTAAATCATCAGAAGCGATGGTGTTCTCCAGTGTACCGCTGATATTTTCCTTCTTAAAGTTGTTAAAACTCCAACTGTCTTTTCAGTTTTTGGGATTTTAATCCTACATAGTTGTGAAAAGGGCATTTTGAAAATTCATGTTTACCTCTACAATTGTGGAACAAGACTTATAAGACAATATTATTAGATTAACAGCCATTTTTTACAAAATCAGCTTCAGACTCTAACTCTCGATGAACATTAGAAATACGGATTCTTTCAACGAACAGCATCCGTAGCGGGTCTTGAATACAGTTTGTGCGTAGGACTTTATCACTTATGTCGTGCTTTCATAAAAATCTAAACTAAAGCTTCCACATGGAAGTCGAGCTCATTGTCAGGACCACATTTCTAGAATATAAACATGCCAATTATTTTACACTGGGTTCTTGTCATATGTTCACGTCTTTATAGGCACGAGTTTTTGAAAAAGGTTGGAAGAGCTGTTTATGAAGGTGCAATTACTGATGCGACGGAAACTTCTAATAACACGGTAGATGGACATGTTGAGGTAATACTTCGTGTATTTGAAGAACTAGTGACTACTGTTTTTATAGATGGGTTTGCATTGACAAAACCTATTATTGTGACTGTTATTGATTGGTTCATTTTTTTTAAAACTAGTTTTCATTTTCTCTTATTAGCCCGTGCCAATGGAAGTGTTTCTGGATGCGAGTGATGCAATATTTGCTCGGAAAGCTGCAAACACATGTCTTGCTATATACAACAGATTTCTTCGAAATAATTGAGTGCTAAGTTTTTGCCTATTCCTGTTCCTTCTCCCTCATAGTTCATTGTCTTGCCAGTTACTCTTTCGCCAGTGTGCCTCAATTGTTACGTGTAAACCACTGGCTCATAATCTATTGGGTGAGATTTTCTTCGAATCTTTCCTATCTGGTTTATGTTACGAATGTCTTTTGATGATGATCTTTCGTCATGTTCAACATTAAGTAGGTACGACAGTCGGCATCTGCAAAATAAGGAACGTAAGCAAAGAATCTGAGAGCACAACTACGGTTGAAAGAAAACGTGAGAGATAAAGAATAAGAATAAGAGAAGAATGAAGGAAAAAAGAGAGTAAGTAAGAGGAGAATAAGAGAACAAGTAGGAATAATGAGAGAGAAAGAATAAGCTACTACTTATTCTCAGAGATGTGGAGACATTGCTTGGTTTGAAGGAAGATCGACTGTGAGAATCGGGATGCGCGAACGATGCGAGCAGTCTACGCTCGCCCATTATTATTCTACTGGTGGACCCTTTGCGATAGAAGGTAGGACGTGTGTGTCTTGAGGAGATATTAGCCATGCAAATGGCCGTCATCCGCTGACCATTCGTTACCACAGTTTAGTGCCCACGGAGTTGTGATGGTAGAGATACTATCTATAGACCCTCGATTAACGCAGCATCTGCCTAGGAACTGGATCGAACGTGGTCGTGTCCTTTCGGACTTTGTACCTAACTGGCGATGTGGATGTGTCGTAAACACTTGTCTAGTATTCTGTTTTAATTCGGTTTTGTTAGAATATTTCCCATCGGAATTATGTTACGAATAGTTTTTGGTAATGATCTTTCCTGATGTCCAACATTGAGTAGGTACGATGCGTCCACATCCCCAAAATGAAGAACATCAACAGAGCCTCAGGGCACGACCACCGTCGTAACAAAGCCGTGTAAAACATGACTACAACCGTAGCAATGCTCGGAGGATATGGCCACAGCTAATCCCGTTCCTCGTCTGATGCTGCGCTCTTCGAGGGCTCAAGAACGGCGGATAGAATCTCTATTACTGCAACTCGGGAGACACTAAACTATGATTACGAGTGGTCAGCACATTACGGCCATTCGTATGGCTAACATCTCCTCAAAACACACGCGACCTTCTTTCCATCGCAGTGTCCACTATTAGAATAATGACGGGCGCCGAAACCGACGCAGATGATACTAGTTCTACCACGGATAAATCTATGGTAATTCGAGTGTGAACTGCACCCATCGTCCCTGGCGTGCACATTGGTCTTCACAGTCGATCTTTCTGCGGGAATTCCAAACAATGTCTCAACATCTCCCGGAATAAATGTTCTCCTCTTCTCAAAAATATTGAGTTATTGCTAGGTAATGTTAAAGGAAGATCGACCGTGAGACCGTGAAGTGCAAACCTGGGACGTCGTTTATAGTCCATACTTGAATAAGGATGGATCGTGTAGTGGCAGAAGTTGGGACAACAGCGTCGTCTTGTCCGTCTTTATTCTAATCTTGGACCCTTTGCGATAGAACTAAGGTTGTATATGTTCTGTGGACATTTTCGCCATACAAATGGCTGTCATTCGCTGACCACTCGTTATCACAGTTTAGTGCACACGAAATTGGAATGGTAGAGATCGTATCCGCCGCCTATGGGGCTTCGATTAGCGCAGCATCTGCCTAGGAACGGGGTCGCACGTAGTCGTGTGATTTTAGGCTTTATTCTTGCACCTCATTTGATGATATGAAAATGTCGTACCTATCTAATGTGGATCGTTAAGTAACCGAACTGTTTTAGGTTTGCATCTTGTGTTGAGAGTGGTTCATGTTGGTCTCGGTTAATAAAGTTTATTGCAAGTGCAGATAGTTCAAGTTTTTTTCATTAGCAACGTTTTTCCTGTTGACAAAATGAAAACGTCATTTGTTGTTCGCCACTTTTGCAACAACCTTGCTTCTGTCGAAACATCGAAAGAAACGTAAGAATTAGCATTTTTCCATCGCAGATATGCCGACTTGTACTGTCTGGATGCTACGCGTCCACTCAGTTCTCTTTCACATCATTGGCAAGAAGAATTAGAACGGATAGGACGACACTAACACATAAGCTATTTGTTTATCTTACGGTTTACTGGTCGACAATTCGATTTTTACGAAGTTTTTTGCAAACCTGCCGTTGGCTGGCATTGTACTATGGGCAAGTTTATTTGAGCTGCGTGCCAATGTTATCCTACTAAGGAATTGGTTTATTTTAATATACATCATTAACAGTTGGAAACGGTCACACGAAAAGAGCTTTCAAGTTGTGCTTCACTGCTTTTGGACTTGTGTTGACTGGTATAGGGTACCGCTTTCGAAAATCTGGCGGTACAGTTGCTTGATGAACAACTAAGTGCACTCCGGTTGCCCTGCCGTATTCATCGCGGAATTGTTTTCATTATAGAAAACGTTGTAGACCTGTTGGCCATCGAGTGACTCGAGCGGACGCCCGCGCCCAGGCTTGTAGAATACAATCCGCATAAACGGGAACACAACCATGCACGCATGCATGGATACGCCTCATAACTTTTTTTCATTTTATATGACCCGTGTTCACGTCTACTGTGCGGATCTCAGCAGTTCTCACATTCGATTCGCTTCCTCGCATCCATTGTCCACGAAGATCCTCTAACTTTTACGTGTAGCCTAGGTTACTGCTTGAGGAATTTCATTTTACCTTGGATGCAGTAGAATGCTGATCAAGCAATTCTCCCTGGAGTCCTGAGATGGCCGGGCTGGAGCGTTCTCAATTGGATTTCATGTTCTTCCCAGACAAATCCGGTACCAATTTGCCGACCAAGGGGGATGAGTGGCTTGGTTGTCCTGGAGCAAAATCGAACTAACCCCATGTTCGTGGTGATAATCACCATGTAGTGTGTGCTCCTACGCGTCATAAATACGGAAAGTATGTCCCAAATCAGCTCAGAAATAAGGAGATCATCTCCTCGATACATCTGCGTCTCAGGGAAGCAAAGGTCACTTTTGGTCCGCGGCTGAGCCCCTGTCCGCCACCAGGGGACGCGCCACGTAGCCTCGCGACTAACCGGCTCAAGATCACTCATATGAGGGAGATCCGTGGAACGGCAGTTAACAACGTTTAAATTCCAAGCGTTCACCTGTCACCTGTATCACCTGTAGTCCCGTTGATCGTCGAGTGACTGACTCTAGCGGGCGCCAGTAAATCGTCTATTTTCCCTGTCGCGTGCAAGAGTAGCTCAGTGGGTTCTGCTCGCTCTAGGGATTCGTCGAGCATCATCTTTCTTCAAGGCTCTTTGTGAAGAACTTGTCTGCTTCGAGGTTAGGGGGACTTATGCTTTGCTATTTTCCAAAACACCGTTTACACCGAGACTTCAAATACCAATTGTCTACTAATTTTTTCCCTCCTTGATCGAGCAATTCTTCTATCAACTATGGACAGCATTCTCTCCAACCTTTCCATTTCAGGTTGCGGAACTTCAGTCTTTCTCTAAATGATATCGAATTCTTTTGAATATGCTGACGTGTGCAGTGCATAACGTTGCAATTCCTCT